AGAATTCAATAGCACGACCAAAATGATCTCAAGATTCGTCTAATTGGAAGGAAATATAGTGATGGGAGATGTTATAACTTGCCTACAAGTTCTGAAGTTGCTGCATTGGTCGTTGGAGACTTTGATCAAGCAATGGGTGAAAGGGATATATTGGTTGAAACCAAAACTGGACGCCTACAGAGGATCAATGAACTTAATGTTTCCTACTTGGCTTTACAATATCCCTTATTGTTGCCATATGGAGAGGATGGGTACAGAGAAGACATACCATTTTCTGATCTGAGAGAAGTAAAAGAGGATGGTCGAACAACTGTGAGTATTAGAGAATATTTTGCTTATCGGATCCACGATAGAAATCACGAACCATCTACTATTCTTTCGGCCAGGAGATTGTTTCAACAATTTATCGTTGATGCATATACCATGGTTGAATCATCAAGATTGAGATATATTCGTTTCAATCAATCTCGCCTACGGTGCGACATGTACAATGGGTTGGCGGATGTTGTTCTTCATGGTGATATCGATCCAGGATCTAGAGGAAAGAGAATAATTCTACCTTCTTCTTTCACTGGAGGGGCTCGAAATATGATTCAGAACTATCAGGATGCAATGGCGATATGTAGATGGACAGGTTATCCAGATTTGTTTATAACATTCACATGCAACCCAAAGTGCTCGAGATCCTTCTTTTTTAGGCCCAAGGAACTTACGTCCTGAGGATCGTCCCGATATTGTTTGCAGAGTTTTTAGATCAAAATTAAAGCAGTTGATAAAGGATTTTCGTCACAATCAAATATTTGGTAAAGTGATAGCAGGTATTATCATTTGTTTCCATAATTTGATTTAATTTGAATTCGTTTGCAGTAATCTTCATAATTGTCTGACATTCGTTTTTATATTTTTTTTTTCAGTTGTATACACTGTTGAATTTCAAAAACGCGGATTGCCTCATGCTCATATACTGCTTTTTTTAGCAAAAGAAAACAAATTTCCAGATCCTTCTGACATAGATATAATCATATCTGCTGAGATACCTGATGTGTCTTCAGATCCGTCTTATTATGAAGCTGTAAAGGAACACATGATCCACGGCCCGTGCGGATTGGCCAGAAAGCAATCTCCGTGCATGGTTGACGGGAAATGCAGTAAACGTTTTCCAAAACCATTTCTTGAATTCACGTCTGTTGATGATGAAGGCTATCCGCGTTACAGACGTCGGGACAATGGAAGACATATAGAGAAAAATGGTGTAGTAGTCCATAACGGTTTTGTCGTGCCCCACAATCGAAAATTGTTGATGATGTATGGTGCTCACATAAATGTTGAGTGGTGCAATCAGTCCCGGTCCATCAAGTACCTCTTCAAATATGTGAATAAGGGCAATGATCGTGTGACCGCATCGTTTTATCAGTCCAATGGAGATGGAGAGCCTGAAAAGCCTGTTGACGAGACTAACATGTTCTACGACTGTAGATATGTTTCTTCATGTGAGGAGGCTTGGAGGTTGTTGGGTTATGAACTTCAGTATAAAAAACCTCCCGTACAACGTTTGAGTTTCCACTTGAAAGGTGAACAGTATGTTATTTTTGAGGATAAAGATCGAATTGATGAGGTTATTAAAAAACCCACTGTAAATGAGAGTCAATTTTTGGCATGGATGGAAGCGAACAAGATATATCCTGAGGCGAGGGAGCTTACTTATGTCGAGGCACCATCAAAATTTGTTTGGAACACAACTTTGAGAGAGTGGACTCCTCGAATCAGAGAAGGTGCTATAGCCCGTCTGCGCTATGTTCCTCCGAACGCTGGCGATAATTTCTATTTGAGGTGTTTGGTTAATGTAATACGCGGAGCAACTTGCCATGAGGATTATATGAAGGTCGACAACGTTCAATATTCCTCATATCGTGATGCTTGCCATGCACTAGGTTTGTTGGGTGACGATCGTGAGTACGTTGATGGCATATCCGAGGCAAGTCATTGGGCATCTGCTGATTCTCTCCTATGTTTGCGACGTTGTTGGTATCGGGTTCGCTAGGTAGGCCCGAGCACGTATGGAAAACGTGTGTGTATTTTCTCTCTGATGACATCATCTATAGGCAACGTCTTCTCTTCAATAATGAAAGTATGTGAATTATTTTTTATTTACGTTTTATTGTTTATTTTATTAATTTTCATATCATGTTCAAGTATTATATTCCATTTTTATAAAATGCTGACTTTGAATCCTTTTCGTTATTAGGTCTGCAACTCAGTGATGCAAATTAAAAGAATTTAGCTCTCGCTGAAATCGAACATTTGTTGAGACGTCGCGGCACGAGTCTTCGGGAATATCCAACAATGCCTTTTCCTGATATGACAAGTTTTACTACAAATACAAATCGTCTGATTTTGGATGAGCTAAGTTATGACCGCAAGGCCTTATCAGTCGAGCACAGTACTCTTCTTAGAGATATGACTGACGAACAGAAAGGAGTTTATTCAAAAATTATGGCAGCGGTAGACTCAGGTCAGGGCGGTGTTTTCTTTGTCTATGGTTATGGCGGAACCGGTAAGACATACTTGTGGAGGACTTTAGCTGTGGGATTACGATCTAAGGGTGAGATCGTGCTTTGTGTTGCATCGAGTGGAATAGCTTCTCTTCTGTTGCCTGGTGGAAGAACTGCGCACTCTCGCTTTGGCATACCTATTAATCTTCACGAAAATTCGTCTTGTGATATCAACCAGGCTAGCCCTCTGGCAGAGCTAATTATACGGTCCTCCCTCATCATATGGGACGAAGCTCCAATGATGCATAAGCATTGCTTCGAAGCTGTTCAAACGTCATTTCAGGCAGTCATGGGAACGGTCAACCCGATCAACCATTACAAACCTTTTGGCAGCAAGACTGTCGTTTTTGGTGGAGATTTTCGACAAATTCTCCCGGTGATTCCAAATGGGAATCGTCAACAGATTGTTAATGCTTCGTTAAATGCTTCAACCATTTGGCAAGATTGTACAGTGCTTAGGCTAACGAAAAATATGCGTCTTCAGAGCCTTGATGATTCG